AACTTATTTCTCCTGTTATTTCTGAAGAAGTGAACTCAAGACTGATTGCAGCTGTTGATGAAGCTGAGATTAAGGATGCTTTGTTTGCTATGAATCCTAATAAGGCACCTGGTGAAGATGGCATGACTCCTCTATTCTTCCAGCATTTCTGGCCACTCATTAAAGGTGATCTCTGTGCTGCTATCCTAAATTTCTTTCATACTGGTAGGATGATGAGGAGCTGGAACCATACTGTTATAACTTTAATCCCTAAATGTGAAAATCCTGAATCAGTAAACCATTATAGACCCATAAGTCTGTGCTCAGTTTCATACAAGATCATTGCAAAGGTTTTAGCTGCTAGAATGAAAGAATGTCTTAACTTATGTGTGAGTGAAACACAGTCAGCTTTTATTCCTGAAAGACAACTATTGGACAATGTGGTAGTTGCTCATGAAGTCATCCACTACCTTAATAGACATAGGCAGGGGAAGAAGAATTTTATGGCTGTGAAACTAGATATGATGAAGGCCTATGACTGTGTTGAGTGGAACTGTTTGATTAAATTGATGAAGAAGATGGGTTTCAGCCCTGTGTTTGTGAGATGGATCTTTGCTTGTATATAATCTTCAGTTTTCTCTCTGAATATTAATGGAAAGGTGACTGGGTTTGTGGTACCTTCTCGAGGTCTCAGACAAGGAGATCCTCTATCTCCTTATTTGTTCTTGCTGGTTTCTGAAATTTTTACCAAAATGATTGGAAATGCTGTTAGGAGTGGAGATATGCAGGGGTTGAAAATTGTGAAGGGTGGGACTGTTCTGTCTCATCTAATGTTTGCAGATGATACTCTACTCTTTTGTGCTGCTGATTTACATAATGCCTTTAATCTGCTCAGAGTACTAGCTTCTTATCAAAGATTTACAGGGCAGAAAGTTAATCTATCTAAATCTTCAGTTTTCTTCAGTAAGAATGCTTCTGTGGGGCTCAAAGCTTAAATTTGTCAATGTCTACAAGGAATTGAAGTCTGTCACTCATCTAGATACCTTGGTCTACCTTTGGGCATTGGTAAAAATAAAAGAGAAGTTTTTGAATATGTTACTGTGGCTGTGAAGAAGAAAATTGTTAGCTGGAAAAACAGGTTCTTATCCTTTGCTGGTAAGGAGATTTTATTGAAATCTGTGCTCTCTGCCTTGCCAATTTTTGTGATGTCTTGTTTCTGTCTACCTGCTGCTGTATGCAAGGAAATAGCACAGTTATGTGCTCATTTTTGGTGGTCATCTAGCAAGGAGCATCAGCCTGGAGTACATTGGCTTGCCTGGCAAAAAGCAACAACCCCTAAAGCTGCAGGAGGACTTGGGTTCAAAGATTTCAGGATCTTTAATGACTCTCTGATTTTGAAACAGATTTGGAGGTTACTGACCAAGCCCAACTGTCTTATGACCAGAATATTAAAAGAGAAGTATTTCCCAAATGACTGTGTGCTAAATGCTAATAGAAAGTCCTCTGCATCTTGGCTTTGGAATTCTTGGATGAAAATTATGAATATTTACAAGAACAGCTTCAGGAAGCAAGTGAGTGATGGGGTTAGTACTAAAATTCTTTCTGATCCTTGGGTGTTGGGTACCAGAACAGGTGTTCCTTGTTTCAATCCAAATATTGATCATTCTCAGGTGACTTGGGTTTGGGAGTTAATTTCTGATTCTGGGAGATCTTGGAACTGTGAGTTACTGCAACATTTGTTTACTTCAGAATCTTGTACTGCCATTCTAAATATGAAAACTCTAAACCCTGAGACCAGAGACAGATGGATCTGGTGCCCAGATGCTAAGGGCATTTTCTCTGTGGCTTCTGCCTATAAGACAGCTATTGACCATAAGGTCTTGCAGTTAGACTCTCCTAGCTGTAGCTACACTCAGACTTTGGATAGAAAAGCAAGAATGAGGTGCTGGACAATGAAAGTCAAACCAAAGTTGAGACACTTCCTCTAGAAATGTTTTACCAATAACTTACCAGTTGCTCTTAACTTGCAGCAGAGGAGAATGGAAGTTGACCCTGTGTGTAGTTGTTGTGGGGATGCCTTGGAATCTGTTACTCATTTATTCTTTGAATGTAGAAGAGCACAGATGGTTTGGAAAGCAACTCCTTTATCTTGGGACTTCACTGAAGCTAAGGCAACAGGCTTTAGAGGCTGGTGGTGGAATATTGCAGAGATGAAAATGAATCCAGTCACTGAAGCTCGTATTTCATTGTCCACCTATATCTTATGGTGGCTATGGAAGTCCCGAAACTTGTGGATCTTTAAAAAAGAGTGGTTATCAGAAGTGGCTATCTCCAAGATGGCTCAAAGAGAATGGTCCGAGGCCTCTAGTTCTTTTTTCTAGTTTCTTCTGTTTTTCCTT